ACTGACTGGCCATAGCAAGAAGGTTCACATGGGTTGACCTGGGTGAGGTAGGACTGTCCACAGGATTATGAGGAATGTGGTGGGGGAGGCAGTGTAAAACATTCAAGGCTTAAACATCTCCCTAACTGCTTTCTTCAGAATGGCCTACATCTTACCAAACATCCAAACATTCCACATTTTTTAAACTTACAAAGATGTACGTCACTGATTTGTTAGTGTTTCTTGTTTAGAACAAAAGCAACTGGAGATGCAGAGAAGACAGCCAAACTGCACCAGTATGTTGACGATGAAAATTTGGAGTTAGCTCATAAAAATACACATCACTACACTAAACACTGAACAAAGACCCAGAGTGTGGGATATTTAAAAATACTTTTCTCTTGGATCAGCACCAAAAAAATACCCTTAGCTTCTGTATTACCCGTGTCCAGTTAAAATTACTTCTGAGAAAAATCACAAGCTCTGCAGCATTCACCACAGATGCATTCAAACACCTCTCAAATACATTTGACATCAAGATTAAGCAGGTCACTTGGGAGAACACTGTGATTCATACTACAGTCCTGTAATGAGACGTCTGCTCTGTATATGGGGCTATTTTACATCTCATACATAGGAGGCACTGGTACTCTGAAGCTTGAGAAAATTACTAGAGCCATTAAGACGGAGGTGAAGAGTTAGTACAGCCTTCCACGATTTCAAAGAGGTAGTGATAGATGCTTGTCCTCCTGGCAATATCGAAAGCAGTTTCCTGTGAGTTGTTCTTCAGCCCTGGTTTGATGTAGCGATTCATGAGGAGGAGTTCCAGGGTGTCCTTACTGTCTCTGTTCCCAGCAGCAAGGTGCAAAGGGGTCAAGAGGCCTTTTGTTTGGGCGTTGATGTCTGCATCGTGCTGAAGTAAGAAAGAGGCCACCCTGGTGTTGTTCCACTTACAAGCACTGTGCAGTGGTGTCCAGCCATCCACAGTCACTGCATGAACATCTGCCCCGTGAGCCACCAGCTCACGAACAATGTCTAAGTGTCCACTGTAGGCTGCTCGGTGAAGAGGTGTATACTCATCCTCATCCCTAGTGTTCACTTCAGTGGCCTTCTCAGAGAGCAGCCTCTGCACGGTAGCAAGCTAAGGAAGAAAAGGAGAACCTTAAAAGTCCAACCCAAAGCAAAACAATCAACAAAGGTAATTACATCACCCAGTGGCTTTAGACTTTAAGACTTTCCCTAAAGGGGAGAAGGTAACTGATGGATGATGAAACAAGTTACAGCTCATTACATTTAGCTGCATCTCAACTACCTGATTCTTTGAATATCACCCCATACATTTGTCCTGCTCTAATAAATACTTATTGCCCAATGCCTTGGCCATAAATGAACAAAGGGTTTAACTGTATATCCTACCTGTAAAGCAAACCTAACTTTCATGTAACATTATGTCAATATACACAGTATATGAACCAAAAAAATAAAAATGAAACTTTTTTTAACAGTAGAAAAAAGTGATGCTGAAGCAACATAAAGACTAAAGTGAGCCAGGCATTGGTGGCACATGCCTTTAATCCCAGCACTCGGGAGGATCTCTGTGAGTTCAAGGCCAGCTTGGTCTCCAGAGGGAGTGCCAGGATAGGCTCCAAAGCTATACAGAGAAACCCTGTCTCGAAAAACCAAAAAAAAAAAAAAAAAAAAGACTAAAGTGTTCAACTCCTACAGATAAGCTCAGATATGTCTGTTGCTGGGCATCAAGTTTGGTTTTAGACATGGACCTCTGACAGAATACATTGTGCTCTGGGATTATAAAGTATCAAACCCTTTCAGTTTTTACTTTATCAACACAGACATGAGAGAACTTAGTAAAATTAAGTACAAATAGTCAAGTAGGAAGAACTTGGGTACTGTTTTTGGATAACTCTGGGCAAATTTGCCTTGCTTTTCTCGAAGGACTTTTTGAGGAGTTGTCATTTAAGTTAATTTCCATGTTACCTATCCTTAGCAATACTTACCTGTAGAATGATCCTAATGCTCTAATTAGAGGGTTAATAATTACCCCCAAACCTCCCAACATCTAATCAGTTTATACTGTAGTATGCTTTTCTTCTTTTTTTGGTTTTTCGAGACAGGGTTTCTCTGTGTAACTTTGGAGCCTATCCTGGCACTCGCTCTGGAGACCAGGCTGGCTTTGAACTCACAAGAGATCCGCCTGCCTCCCGAGTGCTGGGAGATTAAAGGTGTGTGCCACCAACGCCCGGCCTGTAGTGTGCATTTTTATATACACTATTTCATTTTATACTCCTACATAAATGAGACATATATTAAGCTGTCATTTTTAAAGACAAGAAATTAAAAGGGTCAGAAATGGTAGAAAATGCCCAAAGATAAAGATAGAGGTTCAGGGGCAGGTCTTTGGGCTCCAAACCAAATTCTTCTTCTTCTTTTTTTTTTGTTTGTTTTTTGAGACAAGGTTTCTCTGTGCCTTTGGAGGCTGTCCTGGAACTAGCTCTTGTGGACCAAGCTGGTTTCGAACTCACAGAGATCCGCTTGCCTCTGCCTTCCGAGTGCTGGGATTAAAGGCGTGCACCACCAACGCCCGGCTATCCAAACCAAATTCTTTTCCAATTATGTAATTGTTTCTTTTTTTTACCCGATTTTTTTCAGCAGCCCAAAGAAGCAATTTGCTTGGATCTTTTTCCATTTTTTTCTCTTGCAATTGATACCACTCTTCTTGTTTTTCCTCTTGCTCCTCATCTTCATCAGAATCGCCTACCCAGAGACTCTGAGTACCAGTGGGAATCAGGTGTCCATGGGTCTCCAACAATTCAAGTTGATTAAACTCTTCAGAAAAATCCAAAGAGTTTTCTGGGTCTGGTTTTTCATCATCCCTTACTTTTTCTTTTTCCATTTTTGTTCCTATTCTAAATAGAAAGCATTTCAAGCAGCAGGACAGTCTTTCTAGAGACAAATTAAGTCTGCACTGTTTGATTCACTCCAATCTGAAAACATAAACACAACAATCATTAGACATTGATTACTGAGCATTTCAGCAATATGGATACTAACCTTGCAGACAAGACGGATAAACTTTGTCATAGTCTTTAGTGGTTTTTCATAATACCTGTTACATTACTAAATATTGAACCTCAGAGGTTTCTGTTATCTATGTTTATAGTCTTTATAATTAAAAAAATGTTTTCTTCTACTAATAGCCATAACTACCTTAATTTGAATCTATTAATTTATAATTTGAATATTAATTATAATACGTTAAGACAGATGGAGTTCAGGTACAGTGAGTACACAGGAGGGCCATAATTCACCCAGTCCTAAAAGATTAAAGTTTTCTGTGGGCAGAGATGATTACTCTACTAGCCTGCTATAAATTAATTCATAAATTGACACCAGCTTAAAGAGTTACCCAGAATATAAGCATCAATTAAAGAAAACAAGAAGTTACCCTGTAAACCATTTATCGGTCTCTTAACTACATTTGTTGAACTTTGCCATTTTTCATTGCTATTTTCAAATGCTACTACCTTCATTCTCTGTTGAACCGATTAGATTTCTTTAATGTTTATTCTTTTAGGTGTTATGTCTTATATTGTTCTGCCATTAACATTTTAAGGAAAGGCCATCTTCAACTTAGATTTTTTTTTTTTGTGCCATTTGTATGTAACCTGTGTTAAGAACTATTTGTAGCCAGGTGTTGGTGGCACATGCCTTTAATCCCAGCACTTGGAAGGTAAAGGCAGGCAGATCTGTGTGAGTTCGAGGTCAGCCTGGTCTACAGAGCTAGTTCCAGAACAGGCTGCAAAAAATACAGAGAAACCCTGTCTTGAAAAACCAAAAGCAAATAAACAAAACAACAAAAAACAAACCAACAACCCACCCCCGAAAACCTATTTGTATCATTAAATTTAAGATCTATCATTTAATTTTGCTTTGAATGGCCTCTAAGAATAACTAGTCAGTTCCACAAACCCCTCATGGTTTTGTTCTACTTAATTTCATGTATTTAACGTTTTTTGTTGTCCTAGTAAGTTTTATTACTAGTAGCACCAAAATTATGACCAGTAACTTCTTAGGGCCTATAACTGCATTGTAAAATGTAAAACATTCCACTAAGGTTTGTAAGATCTTGACTAGGCTCATTTTTAAAAAGAGAGCTATCAGAACAGTTTTCTTGCCGTCTTCAAGTTTTCCTTTCATCTTAAACTATTTTCTAAAAAGTTACTACGTCAGGTCAGTTCATTAAATGCTTAACACGTTAATACCAAAATATCACAGCACAGATCTCAGGCCCCCATCCCACACCGTTCGTCATGAAAACGCCCATTAATTCTGACTTTACCGTTCCAGATGTAAACTACATATAACTGTCTTGGCACATTTAATTTGAATCAGATGTATCCCCTGATCCAGGGTATAAAACTTGATGCATACCACTGTGGATGAATAGGGTGTTCCCTAACTTAAAAGGAAACACTCCATTTTGAGACAGACAGGAGCTGTTCCAATTCTCACCTCAGTGAGATGGAGCCCCATGTCCCACGTCAGAGGGCTGCGCTGAGACCCTGACAGTTGAAGGCAAGTTGTGGCGCATCACGGCCTTCTGGGGTCCGATCTCGTTCAAAGTTCCACATTATTTTTACTGCACTCTCTTCAAGGTTCCGCACATAACGTAAGGCAAATGTGGTGAGCCGGGGGCTCTGGGGTGATCGTCAGGGGAAACAGGGAAGAGAGGCCCGTGGTCTAGCGGGTGAGGGTCCCCAATCGAAGAGGCTGTCCCGGTACT